ACACAGCTATGAACTTAATATATTGCAGTCTTTCGAATTTCATCAGTTAAACATGCATTATGCAAGAGCAAAATCTGCTTATTACAAGTCTTTCTTTAGGCCTGAAATGTTATCTAAATTATCAATTAGACATTAATTAACTTATCCAGACCATAATAAACTCTCGATGTCAAGGCTAGCCTTCGATGTAGGCTGGATTAGATTCCTATATGCCGCTATATGCCAAAGATAATTAAATCAGAAAAAGTGGATAATCGAGACAATGCTGTTTATATTAATGATTTTAGTATAATGATAACCGAGATTATGCAAAAATTTCACCAGCTTCTTTCTCGGCTCATAGTGGATCAATTTGACTGAAATTTTCAGCAAATTACCTTTACACTATCTAGTTTTTAACTATTATAGTGAGAACTGCCATCTCTTTATCTTATCTCCCATAATGTATCTTTAATAAATTTTGTCATTTGCTATCATGGATCAGGTGGAATATGACACAGACGAGATCTTGGCACTGTATTTGTACATAAAACAACGACAGAAGAGAAAGAGGCGAATATCAGTGCATGAAATTTTACAGAGAAGAACAAGAAGTGAGTTTAGAGAATACCATCACCTCGTAGAAGAAGAACTATATTTTCATCCGGAAAAACTCCAACAGTATTTTCGAATGACAGAGGAGCAATTTGTCTGCTATAGAATCGCATTTCTTTCGATTTCAATGATCATTTCTTCGGCCTCGTCCATTCTGCTTTTACAAGTAGACTGAATATTGCACACTAGTGGGAACGATCAGGCCTAGCGGTTTCTATTCGTGGAAATGATGTCATGGGAAGTGCCCGCTGATTGGTTCATTGGGAAAAAGATTGCGCGAACTTCTGAAAAATTCGCTCGGGAGGCAATCAAGGCAGTCATTCGCGCGAACCAATATTTGTTCGGGTTCGGGTTCGCGCTCTGTATGAATTTGGCCTCTAAAAATGACTAGAGCATTCCAGGACGAAAAGCCGCGTTCGCGTTCGCGCGCTGTATAAACCCTTCTTTAGGAAAGACAGATTATGTACTTTAATTGTGCTATAAACTAATAAATGTCGAGGACGAGTAGGCCCTATCATTTTATTCTTATTTGTCCCAAGGCCAGATACAAAGACCTGCGAAATAAATTTATAAAGTAAAAACCCAAGTGTCTGTAAACTAATACAACTTCTTGCCGCTAAGAACACCACAGAATTAGAGAATCTGGGTCGGTTTCTATTTCTAGCAAATATGAGAAGATCTGAACTATCATTAAAATATAATCACCTCTTTAACTCTTTTTTGTACATCTTATAAAAATACTCTCCTTGTACATTCTGTGTATATTTTCATTGTATGTTCGTTTTGTATGTATTGCTGTATGTGTGTTTTACGCGATGGGTTTTTGACCTAAGGGTAGGGTGACCCACCATAAATAAATATCTCCATATATCTCCATATATCTCGACAATTACGCCACAATATTTATATATATGCCAAGCCTCAAATCAGTTTCACACAATTATAGTCACTAAATAAACGATCATGTTGTACTTAATAAGCTATGACCATTAATCATCTATAAATAATAGACTGAAAACTGGTTCCAAGTGTCGTCCATAACATCCAGACACTTTTGAGTAAAAGATAGGTTACGTGCCCTTGTTTTGAAATTAGTCTCGCTTAACCAGTCTATTGACCATTCTATGTCTGATTGACAGGTCGGGATAATCAAGACTACTTTTTTACGAAACATTACAGAAAGCTAGAACAAGAAATTGAATTTATAAATAAGCACGTTAGGTGGCTCAACAATCGTTTTAAGAACCTTGTAAAAGTAAAATGAAACTACTGCTAGTATCATGTTCCTGTCTAACCCGAGTGATTCAGGGATATTATTTGTACTAAACCAAAAGATGCCGCTCTTAACGGTACAGTTAATGATAAAGCGATTTAAAAAATGAAACGAACGTAATTTCTAAATCTGCTGTAATAACCAAGAAGCTTAATTTCACTGCTATTCAAAATCGTCAACAATAAATTTTTTACGGCTGTAATAGTTGATAGATTTGTAGACAATTGCACGTGCCATGACTATTTATAGTATCATACTGTCAGAAAGTTGGTCTCGGCACGGGGAATGTGTACGCTTCAGTGGTAGTCTCGAACTATCAGCGGTGGACTTTATTTCTGTAGAGTACATGGGCCACCCTACTAAGGGAATAAAAAGAAATGAAATGAATGGGGTTTAACGTCCTACTGTTCTGCTGGAATAAAAAGAAATGAAATGAATGGGGTTTAACGTCCTACTGTTCTGCTGGAATAAAAAGAGAAAGAGAGAAATGGGGTTTAACGTCCACTCGACACACCCAAGAGAATAAAGAACTAGAACTAGAACTGAAGAGTAATTAATGCACGTGTGATGAACTGAAGAGTAATTATTACTAATTAATGTACGTGTTGTGGACTGGAGATATATTATTTAATAATTAAGATTCTGTACAGATTTGGTTATTTCGCATTCAATAATTGTAGAAATGGAAAACTTTTAGGAATTTATTACAATAAACTATAATTTGAAGTTTGTCTAAAAAAAAGTCTAGCGACATAATATACAGGGTTTTAGGAAATGAAGGCTTAATGTGTGATCAACGCAATACCTCTATTTTTTAGAGACTAACATATGGTAATTTTCATTACTAGGAGGGAAATTTGCCTGGACAGCGACGATTCCGCATATTTCTCTTCGGATTCCAACTGTTCAGGGTTGTTTTACATGAACGCTAATGTGTAAACGGTTGGAACTCTTGTTTTCGACAGATCCGAATGGCTAGATACAATTTCCCTGCTACCCCTTACAAGTGAGAACCCGGCTCGAGAATTCGTCACGGCTCCTCTCGGCGCAAGTCGGGGTTCATGTACGATAACATAAATAATCGGTGCAATAAATTTCTCTTTAAACATGCATTATGCAAGAGCTAAATCTGCCTATTGCAGGTCGAGTATCTGATGCCATCGAGGGTTGATTATGGTTTTATTTTGTTAATAAATTCCTAATTAATATAACATTTCAGTCCTAAAGAAAGACCTCCAATAGGCAGATTTACCTCTTGCATAATGTATGTTTAATAAATAAGAGCTTTCAAACGTTGTATTAGGAAAATGTGGAGGCTTGTAAGAGTTTGTAGACCAGGGGAGGGGGTGGGGGTGTCTAAACTGGATTCTTGTCGAGCGACGACGGCGGTGGGGGCATTTTTTAGCGATTATTTGGTGGAAAAGCACACAGTAACTCAACACCAATAGTTCCAACAATCCATAAATAGTTGAGCAAGGGTAACTTTACGAGACCCCTAAAGATGGATTAATTACATTTCACTGAAGGATTGGGATATTTCAAGTTCAGAGAGAGAGAGAGAGAGAGAGGGGGGGAGAGAGAGAGAGAGAGAGAGAGGGGATTAACGTTCACTCGACATAAACTGAGTCATTTCGGTACTTACACATGGTTCAATTTTATTTCAATAATTCGCTTGTGCGTAAGGGTCTTTAGCAGTGGGAGGGAAACCGGGGGACCCAGAGAAAACCCACGAGGTTGGACAGGCGACCCTACCCCTTGTCACGTACAACCGGGGAATCGAAACCACGCCCCCCCCCCCCCCCCTTCAAGTTCATAGAGGATTGACAAATAAATTGATGAGGATAATATCACAAATTGTGTTAATCTCGACTGGGCGTTTCTGTTGTAGTGAAAGCATATTATAAACAAATTGGAGAGGGGTGATACCCGTACAGTGCACCCGGCCACCGTGTATCAGCCCCTGTTAGATGACCATAATCTCTACCTTAATCAGGCGTAATATTATTTAAACACGTCATAACGTGTTTAACACGCCGTGATGATTAATCCAATACTCGGTACGCAACCACCATGTTAATCTGAATCTTGTTGAATAATTAAGAGGGCTGAGCTCATTCCTTCAAAGGATATTGTGATAAACACTCTGTGATTTAAACGTCTGGGAGGGATATCGGTATTTATTTATCGTAAAGTAAAAATGGGGTTACACACTGCGACAACTTCGGTCCCTTGGCAACACTACTCGATTAACCAGGCGCTTTTAGTTGCCTGTCCGTATCCTTAGTTTGGGCGCAAAGCAGGCTTAATTTAATAAAATAATGAATACCTATTATATTTTGTATTTAAATTGAATGTCCCTTATCGGGGGTTTTACTATACCCATTTTGTTACATACATGTGAAATGGAGTGGGGTTTAATGTCCTTATTTTCTGGCCTGTCCAACCTCGTGGGTTTTCTCCGGGTCCTCCGGTTTCCTCCCACTGCTAAAGACCCTACGCACAAGCGAATTATTGAAATAAAATTAAACCATATGTTAGTCCCGAAATGACATAGTTTGTGTCGAGTAGGCGTTAAACCCCACTTTTTTCTCTCCCGAAATGACCTTCTCTCTCTCTCTCTCTCTCGCTCTCTCTCTCGCTCTCTCTCTCTCTCCTAATTTTCTGCACCGACTGGGCTAATGAAAACGTGCGTAGGACATGTAGTGCACTATGAGAGAAATGTTATCCGGACAGTGGGCGCTACACCTACTCTTATTTCGAATTTCAATTGTGAGAGTTACTTTCTATTGACATTGCAACGGAAAGATGAATATCATAAACAGTGTCCGGAAATGTTGGCCAATTCTTTTGAACAAAAAACATCAAAACATGAAAGTGGGTGTATAAAAACCAGAGCGTTATCCATATAACGTCAGGTGCTCGATAAAGAATACGTATACCCTGCCTCGTGCAAGATAATTCCTCCCCCTTATAGCATAAGCTTTATTTCCTAACTGGATTAAAACGATGTTCGATATGCAACAGTAGTCATAACGCTCGCCCAAACTATCGATTTGTCCAAGTTAAGCTTATTACAGCCGAAATAATCCCCTGGTATAACACACCGCCTGGACGATTGTGACTACTATATTTGACAGGTAAAACTGAGCTGTGAACCAATAATGATCGCAGAGTGTAATAATCGCAATATGACATCGTGTGATATACATGCTTCATAATCATAATATAAATATAGAAGTCATATTGTTTAAGTCATTTACAATCAGTATTAACGGATTTAGTCTAGTGACGGTGCACTGCGGGCGACCATATTATACTATATAGAATGGAGGGTATGAGAAGAGCCAAGACTTCATATGATCTTTACGGAGAGTAAGTAAAAAGTATTTTTATATTTTTCATAAAACATTAAAATACGCTTTAGTGGATAAAATAATTTTATCGAGCGTTTGTTAAACTGCTAAGAGATATAAACGCAGTGTCTTTAAAGTGAATATGGTATTGTATTGTATTATTATACATTTGAACTAGTCCTTTTGCATAATTCTTTTGGAATTGACAGTGTATTTTATTAACCCGGTTGGTGCAGAAAAGTAGGATGTCAAACCCCATTTAAATTTTATGCATTTAAATGCAATGTTTGTTTTTTTTTTTAAAAAGTGAATATGATATTATATTTTATGCATTAGACATTTGAAAATATTTGAAATAGTCTTTTTAAATTTTTGTGCATAATTTATTTGGAATTAACAGTGTATTTTCTTTTAATATCTACGGTTAGCGCATGCTGTTTCTATTTTTAATTGCTGATATCTAAAAATGCACGAATATTTATATGTTTCAAAATCGATACATATAATAGGCCTAATGAAACATGGATATGGATTTTTTTAGAGCCTTATGAAATTATATACATATTTACAGTTGTTGATAAAAAAGAATGCATATCAAGCCGAAGCTTACGTTAACTCGTTTCTCACTGGGGCTAATCCGACCATATATAATTTTTTAAGACAATCAATTGCCAAAGCTTAGGTTAAATCGTCTCCCACTGAGGCTCGTGGTTCCAATTTGTATAAAATTACTAAAACAATCGTTCGTCAATACTAAACTTGTCTCCCACTGAGACGAAAAGTACATTGATAACAAAATACAGCGGAGGGTATTTGTTAACAGATTTTAAAATATGAATAACATTTTTAAAAGAAATTTCGGCCTAAACCAAACTTGACATTTACTGAGGCTATTGGTTCTATGATAAAACAAATGTATAAAATTGTTGAAGAGACTATTTCGTCTATTCAAAACTAGTCAGTTATTGAGTATAAAGTCATTGCATACTTATCTATAGGAATTAGATTTACCATTTCGTTAGTCTAAAAATGGCTGAAGTATACTATTGAGAAGATTTTGATCCCCGTTTAAATGTTGTTGTGTGCGGCCCTGAAATCAGTGAATAATAGTAGACCTATTATATTCGAATCATAAGCTCTCTCTCTCTCTCTCTCTCCCTCTCTCTCTCTGGCTCGCTCAGTGTTATTGTGTGTAATATTGCTATATTCGAATCATAGGTTATACCTCTCTCTCTCTCCCTCTCTCTCTCTCTCTCTCTCTCTCTGTGTTATTGTGTGTAATATTGCGACCCTGAGACCAGTGAATAATAGACCTATTATATTCGAATCATAAGTCATACCTATACACCATGGTTCATACTATAATTCATATATAATATGCATAGAGAATAATTTGACACGTTTCTTTATAATAAGATTATTATTTATCAATTCCTCATATTAATAAATAACTGGTGGTGTATTGTTGTATATCTTGTGAAGACCTGCTGGATTATTTGTCAAATAATAAAACTGACCTTTTCCCGAATGATATTTTTGGATTATAAAAAATGAAATGAAATGGGGGTTTAACGTCCTATTGTTCTGTTGCGACTCATGGGTTAATGAAGGCAGGCCTCCTCTTACATCAAATTCGAATTGCCAAGGGATCTTTTACGTGTACACGAAGCCTCGTTTTTCGTACCATTCGAACGACTATACAGCTGTTCTTGTCAGCCCGTTCCTCTGGACCACTGACAAGGGGAATCACGCCGGAAAATCCTGATGAACTTTTTCGGCCAACATCGGGAGCGGGAAAGGAAAGGAAGGGAACGGAGTTTTATCGTCTCGTCAACACTGGGAGCCATAGTGGCTCATTGATTGAGGCGCTAGCTCACTATCCAGTGTGGTTTCCTCCTGTCATTGGTACTGGTCGGATAAAGAGTGTCTTGTCGTTAGGATGAGACTACAAAAGGAGGTCCCGCGGATACATTGGATTGCGCTAAAAAAAACCCTCGAATTCGACAAAAGTGTAAAAGTCGAAGCAAATGGTGGATGCTGCGGCAAAATCAAAAATAAATTGCCGTAGTTGATCACGTAGATATCCTCAGTGGTCATGTATTCAAACTGTTATACCAAAACAGAACAGTAGGGCGTTAAACCCCATTTCATTTCATTCCAGCCATAATTATCGTGACAGTGGTAACAATGACAATCGAGTTATTTTAAAATTCAGTTTTCACGACTTAGAGTGAAACAATTTGACTGAAATTTTCAGCATATTCCCTTTACATTATCTAGTTTTTAACTATTATAGTTAAATATTTTTATATGTTTTATAAAGATTATGAATTCTTGTGTTTGAGGTTTCATTTTTTATTTTATAATTAAATGTTTACTCCCAGCTTTGGTATCATATTACTGTTTACCTTGTGCTTGATAACGACAAGAAAGCTGCCCCCCCCCCCCGATTCGGCTAACCGTCCATTTTTCGGGCTTTGTATTTCCGTTTTTCGAGCACAAACGTCAAAAATAAAAACCATATACATCACAGAAATATAATTGTATATTGAAAACCATCACGGTTTACGTTTTGAATACTGTAGTACTTAAGACTCGCAGAATAACATTTTTGGACAACTCGTTTTGGTTAATGATTGATTCATTCTGAAAATTTGAGTGAATGAGACCATATACATCACAGAATATAATTGAATAATTGTAAAATGTAATCGCTCGCGGATCACGCTTTGAATAATGTAATACTTAAGACTCGCTCAATAACATTTTTCGAAAACTCGTTTTAGTTAATGATTGATTCATTCTGAAAATTCGGGGGACAAAGAAAATGTTCAGGCAAATAGCCTCTCCCCCCACCCCCATCCCAACAAACTGAGATTGGCCCCCTACGCCTATGCTTGTTGAAACGTTGCACTGTTCAAGTTGCTAGTGATTGTTAATAATTGTTATCCACAAAGCTGTGGGTCGCCTGTCCAACCTCGTGGGTTTATTCCGGGTCCTCCGGTTTCCTCCCACTGCTAAAGACCCCTACACGAAAGCGAATTATTGAAATCAAATTGAACCATATGTTAGTCCCGAAATGATCTAGTATGTGTCGAGTGGACGTTAAACCACACATCCATCTTTCTCTTTCTCTCTCTCTCTCTCTCTCGCTCTCTCTCTCTATTTCTCTATTTCTCTCATACACACACAAAGCTGTGTATTGTTTCAAATATTGAACTATGACAGATTTTATTACCACAACTTACGCATGGTGTTCATTTTAATGACGTAAAAGAGACGAGAAGGGGCTTCCGAGTGAAACCTTAACAACACGTTTATTGTTCTCGGCGTTTTAATTTTAATAAAAATATCACCCGCTTGTGGCCTACATCAGGGTTAAATAAATAAGTTATAAAACTTTGAAGTGGTTTGAAGGTTTGTTAAACCCCTGTTCAACCGTTAATATAAATATTGACCCCCACCTTCCCTATAATTTGTGATGTCATTGTCTGGTAACAAGGGCTATTTCATTCTAAAGACAATATATTTAACACAACTTAGCATATACTTTATAATACTTTTAACATTACTGAAGTATACCATTTAAGTTGTATAAAAGCCATTTCTTGCAGAGAAAAAAAAATATTTAGTCCTTTAGCTTATCAAACAGTAGTTCTTGGATATGATTACACAAACGTAGGTATATGCAATGTGTGTTTATCTATGTTTTATTTGCTCAGTGGGTAGGGAAATAAAAATTTCTATTTAAAATTTTAATTGTGCAGGGCTTAAACGATCTATTAAATGAGGCAAATATCAGTGAAAATATGTATTTTGAGATTTGCAGCGGTTTTCAATTAGTGAGTAGCCAACCTTAGATCATTTTATTTTATTTTTTTGGTCATAAATTTGGCAATCTTGTCCTAGTATTTAAAATATCCAGGTTTATCTTAAGCTATAGGCTATTTGCTAGAAGTAAAATATTTTGCATTTGAAATATTGACATCGATGTTTCAAGGGGAACTAACAAAATCTAGATTAATATTTTATCGAAGAAAAAATGATTTTATTTATTTTCAGACACCCCCCTGGATCAAGCTATGGAGTAACAGCGTATGTACCTGTATCTAGTCCTGTACCACGCCCACCTGTAACATGTACAGGAAGAACCACACCTTTACAGCGACCTAAAACACGACAATCCTTAATAGTTGATAATGGAATACAGCAGCGACCTTCAACACGACAGTCTTTACTAGCTGATAATGGACCACAACAGCGACCTTCAACGCGACAGTCTTTACTGGCTGATAATGGACCACAGCAGCGACCTATTTCACGACAATCAGTACTGGCTGATAATGGAACACAGGTAATCCTTCAAGATAAATCTCACCACAAAAAGGGGTCGTAGAAGGCGAGGGTGGGGTGGTTTAGTGGTCTAGCGCAGTGGTTCTCAACCTTTTTTTGCCAACGGCACACCTTGGAACACATGCAAAAATAGCGGCCCACCTGGCTAATTATATATGATATGAAAAATATCTGAATTTTGCAAAATAAAAACATGGCAATTCATAGACGACATACAACCGTAGACACAGGCTAGTCATGGGCACATAGAAAAACTCAATTCATAGCTATGAACATACTTTATTGCAGTCAAATAGCTGGCTTCTTTAGTGAGAAATTTTCTTAAGTGTGCCGTTCAAAATTTCGTGGCACACTTAGGAAGATTTCGCCGCCCACCCGTGTACCGTGGCACACTGGTTGAGAATCACTGGTCTAGAGTGTCTCACACCGAGCTCTGTTCAGCCACCTCTGGGTTGGGGTCGTGGTTTCGATTCCTCGTGTGAGTGTATGTGAGTTGGAGATATGGGCGCCTTCTCAACCTCGTTGGTTTACTCCGGTTTACTCCGGTTTACTCCGGTTTCCTCCCTAAGGAAAGACTTATCATAATATTAAATAGTAGTTGTGCCTATTAGTCAGAATATTTCCGTTTTAATGATTTTTGTGTTTCCATAGAAACAAATTTGACTTAGTATACAAGGGTGTCAGATACTGATGATTTAGCTTTCTTGTTTTTTCTCTTTAAAGACTGAAGTTGCAGATGTTTCAACTGATAATCATCCGTACAGTGGTTCAATGGATCCAGTTAACAGACATTATTACTTCAGAGAATGGTGTAGAAATCCACCAAGACCACAAATGCCCTTGTAAGTAACACAGATATGCCCCTCATATTATTAGTCTTTTTTTCTTGGAGCTGCTACGTTATCTGGTCAGAATTGTGCGACTTGATGACCTGGTCGTCAGCTTAGTGGACACACTGTTGTGGGGCCCTGAAATGTGTCAGCAACTTCGCAATCAGCAATCAGGTCTAGGTAACAAATGTTGTCTTCTTCAATGGGGTCGTTCCTTGGAAAGAAAATATTACAAATTAATACAAAACCCTACACTCGTCCAATTCAGTAGGAACATAGTCTCAATGCTTGATATCGAGATTTGCTTTAGGGAATGCATTTGCATAATGTGATGCATCTGCATTGCTCTTCTGGTTACCCACCTTGCATTTTGGACCAGTAATTGGTCTCCAATCCCTACTCATCATTTCTTCTACTTCTTCTTGGGGCAAGCATCTTCAAAAAGGACCTAAGGCTCCGCTTATTCAAGTACGAAACTTGACATGCTTGCTTCTTGGACAATTACGCATCGATTGACATACTTCGATGTTTGATATGACATCACAGTTCCAAGATGGCTGCGATGACGACATACTCAGTTCCTGGTCCAAACAACGGAAGAAAGATATACGTTTTCTCAATTATCCACAATAAAAAAAATTTTAAAATATTTTGGTATCCTTTTATTTTTTTAATTTGAACCGTTCTCTGTGTTCTATAAGAATCCTGAAATTCATATAATTTTTGCTTTTTTTAATTTTTATCAACAGAAACCGATCTGGAAGATTAGGAAGCACTTGGCGACATGTTAAAACAACATTTAATCCACACGGTTCACATATAGCATTTATTGATGGTCAGTAAAATTAATCTTTAACCTATGAAAACATAAATATAACGTATCGACCACTGTTTATTTTAATTCTTTTAATTATTAGTCGGGTTTTGTTTTCGCTATTTTTTAAACTCCCATTTCCCGCCATTTACTTTAACGCAAAATGGCAAGATGTATTTGTCCGTAATAACTAAAATCATCCTCCAGTGGCAGTTAATACTACGCTAAGAATTCTACCCAGTCAAATTACCATTAACCTAATCATGTTTGTGTCTCCGTGGAAACAATTTTGATTTAGTTTTTGCTAAACCGGTTCATTGGGTGTTTTTTTTTTGTTTTTTTTTCATTTTTTTTTAAATTTCCAATTCCCGCCATTTACTTTTAAGCAAAATGGCAGGATGTGTTTGTACTTAATAACTACAGTCATCCTCCAGTGGCAGTTAATACTACGCTAAGAATTCTACCCAAAACAAATTACCATGAAAGTAATCATTTTTGTGTCTCCATGGAAACAATTTTGACTTTTTGCTAAACTGGGTCATTTGATGTTGATGAATAAGTCGTGTTGTATTTCTATTTCCAGGTACAGTCAAAGAAGAGGAGAATTACTTCTACCCTCCAGAATTAATGTACCAGCCGCCTAATTTCACTTCCTATATTCCACCAAGAATGTTTGCCACCCCATCTTTGTCTGCTAGTCCTAAACAACCTAAATATAGAACAACTTATAACAACAAAGCTAAACAAGGTTTTAAATATTGGTATCAAGATCCGAAACCAATAGACTGTAAGTATAACATCTATACTAATTATTTTAGTCTCAGTTTCGGACTGGGCTTTCATTTCAAAATTGTACCCATCTGTTTACTTTGGATTAGCATGATAGTTTTCAAAAAGAATGTTACAATTGTACACTGAAAACCCATAAATTCATCTGCATGTCTTTGAAATACGAGTTATATGGCATGTAAATTGTCCGACGAGTAAATTCTGTAGCCGGTCGGTTAAGACAGGCAATTATGATTAAAACGAAAGCCTAGGACAGAGACACGTTTAAAGATTTTCCAAATTCATTTGATTATGGTAAAACAGAAGTTATTATTATTTAATTGTGTTACTTTTAGATATAAGACCCATCAGGTTTTAAGTAAAGGTACAGTTGATGAAAAATTAGAGATCATTTTTTTTCTTTTAATCCAGAATCTATTTAATTGTAAATAAATAATACAGTATTAATCACAACAGCTTTAACATCGTTATGTCGAATTTCTATGGCCCACAGTTTTACTTGAGCACGACCAGGTTCGAGTAAGAAATTCAGTCAAAATTTTTGCGCTCTTCCTTTTTACTGTTTCCGGACGATCGTCAGTGTCATCGTTACCAGTCTAGTCTAGTCTTTGTTATTTAAACCATGTTGTGGCCCAAGAAGAACCGCCAGAAATTTGCAAGCCAGGTTCTCACTTGTAGCCCGTGCAAGACCAACAGGTAAAGGGCACCGAGTCATTCCACCCATGCATATATTAGAGTGCACATAAAACATCTTGGTAATTTGAATTCGAAGATGACCAGACGGAAATTCTACTGTCTTTGCAAAATTCTCATCCTCGCAATTATAGAAATGAAATTGATCGAATATTAGACTCAGAATAAATGAAGTTGGCCTATTGTGCTGAAAAGACTGAGTCGAATAACAAAACGTCAAATTATTTATTATACAATTAAAATAGATTCTGGATTGAACATATACTGTGTGTATACTTTCTAAAATCTGTAAAGTGTGCCCTTAAATTTCTACATAGTTTGAAGTTTGTGTCTATATCTGTTACCCTAGCTATCGACCCTGTGAATGAAATTAATGCTTATTTTATCCTACTGTGTACCATGTAATTCCTTTCAGCCTACGAAATGCAAAGAAGGGCTATGGTTGAAAACTACTAAATAATTTGTGAGACATATACCATATTGAATATATTCAACTTTTACCTAACATAGTGTGAATAATTAATATAATATAACCCTTTGCTTTATTTACATAAAATTAACAAGTATTTACTATTATGGGGTGATCTAACTTTTCAGCTTTAAGAATTTGTCAAATAATCTAATTGGTGCTTTTTTGGTTCAATAACAGTTTTTTGGGTTTTGTTTTAGAATTTAGTGTAAAAATATTTATTGAGTGATATAACATTTTAGATTTGATAGCCTAGAATTGCCATAAAAAACACAATTCCCACAGATAGCTAATTTTCATCATGTTCAGCTTGGTCACCTGGTCGTCGCACATTACGGAAACTTACTTTGTGACCCAGATACGTTTTAGAAAGGAGCACAGGAAGCTGGTTGTTTTTCAGCATGATTTAAAATAATTTGTTGCTCTTCTCAAAAGCTTCTAATTCATTTTATTTTTAATTTTGAATTTCTATTAGTTCTAAACAGAACACCGTATGGTGTATATGTCCGTCTTTATTAGGGGGTTAGATGGCCGAATGGTTAGCACGTGCGCGCGGAGTTTCGATTCGCAGGTTGTACGTGACAAGGAGTAGGGTCGCCTGTCCCCCCTCGTGGGTTTTCTCAAGGAACTCAGATTTTCCTCCCACCTCTAAAGACACCTACGCGCAAGCGAGTTATTGAAATAAAGATTGAACCATATGTTAGTCCCAAGATGACCTAGTTTGTGTCGAGTGGACGTTAAACCCCATCTCTCTCTCTCGTCTTTATTATCCCGGTTGGTGCAGTAAAGCTGGACGTTAAAAACTATTTATTCATTATTTATTAATATTCCAAAAAAACAAAAATTAAATTGTTTTGGCCTATTTATTGATACATATTTCTTAACCAGTGCTTTTATTGAGTGATGCGGATTTTAATCATTTCCATCCCGGTCTAACGCTATGCTCGTTTTAGATTTTCAAATATTCAAACCAATCTAAATCCTGCTTTAATCTTACTAGATGGAACAAAATCGTCCTTTGGTGCTAAATCTCGATGGATGGGCGTGGCTGGTGATTGTCCCGTTTATAGCAAGTAGTACTTTAAAAAACAGAGGTGACATATACATATATATACTAAATTTATTAATTAAAAACCTTTTTACTAATATTAACACGGCATCATATACTAACTCTATTACTCTCAGGGGCGCTGTTTCACCAAATTTTAACTAAGATGAAATCCAAATTTTAGTAATTTGATTGGATAATATTAGATTGATTTTAGTGCTTAGCCAATCAAAATTAAAGTATCTACTAAAATTTGGATTTCATCTTCAGTTAAGATTTCGAGAAACGGGGCCCTGGCCTCTAAATAGCATACTCCTCGCAGTGTTTCGTTTGATTAGTTAGAGCTGGAGAGGAATTTCTCCGATCATTGATTCACGAATATGCTAAGTGATGTATTGAACTAGTACCTAACATTGTGAACTTTGCGCCAGGCATGTATTATAATATCATAAAAACACGGATAAAAGACAATTAATATGTGCCACACAAAATGGCGGGCACCAGGGGGATTGTGTCTGTCAATGCCGTGTGTCTTATTTCCAGACTTGGTGATTCTTGAGGTTTCTTCATCTGTATATAATGCAGTGACAACAGGACCTTTATATGGGGAATTTCACATAAATTAATTAATGTTTTAATGAATATCATACAGGTTAAACATTGGTAGGCCTACATGTTTGTCTACTTTTTATCTAAGCAATATTCAGCCAAACCATGTCAAAATGTAACAACCATCTTTGTATTATCTTCAACTCAATGTTGTGTGTTTTGTTTTAGTTTACTAAACCATAATATTATTTAATTTTGAAGAAATTTGAAATGATTTTAAAATATCTGAATGAGTGTGGTGTTAGATAAAATTTTAAAATGTTCTGTTATTCTCAATTTCAGTGGCATCAAGGTATAGATTAAAAGCACAGTGGCTGACTATGGGACTTTAGTCATTCTATTATGAAGAAATCTTTCATCAAATCGGAACACTTCTATTTCAACCAACAACATTGTTAAAGCTTTAATTGTTTCAATTTTAAATTATTTTTGCTACTCAGAATAAAAATCTTTATATTTTAATAATCTAATATAATTTAATTATTGTACCCAAGAAAGAAAGGATACTTCTAACTGGTTCAACTGTTCCCATGGTGAAATGAGACCGATATTCTTATTGGGGGTGGGTGAGACCAGGAATGACAGTTTGTGTCTCTTTTTATGAAGAATTGGGCGGGGTAATCGTGACATTAAACCCCATTACCCCAATATTTTCTCTTTATGAAGAATCATTTTGGATAGGCAATATGCGATCTCTTTTGTCCTTAGTTGGAATCACTGGACTCTTAGACAAGAATCTCAGGATTGCTTCAAGCCCAGTTCCCACATCAACACTTGTCAGGGGTTCTGCTTGAGGGCCGAATAATTTAAATGGGGCAAAACCCATGCACATAAGATCCTTCCTACCCTTGGAAATTAAGTAGGCAGAACTGCTGCTGTACGGGCAACATTCTCTTCCCTAGCACTGCACATACAGTTAGTCCCAAAATGACATGCGTTGCGGCATTGTGTTGACATGTTACTCAATTCGTTTCCTTAACCTTGGGTGCCACAACGGGGCAGTGATAAGATGCTGCACTGATGGCAGGAGGACAGGGTTCGAACCCAGGGAGAAAGTTCTCCTGGATTTTCTAGAGTGCTTTCCCTTTGTCGGAGGTGCAGGAAATGGGGAACCCAGCAAGAAACAGCATATAGTAGTTCGGATTGGAGAGAGAGAAATTGAAGTCTTGTGTAAACATTGGCATGCAGTTGCACCTTGGCAGTTCGACTGTGACGAAAATAGGTGGAAACCTGTTGTCTCCCAAAATTTCCCTCATACACGTAGCATACTGTATGGTGTATTACCATCCTCATTAGCCTGGTTGGTGCAGAAAAGGATGTTGAACCCCTTCTCATTTCCTCTTGATCCCATAAGGGAATAATCACTAGACAGGGCCATACACACTGTACATGTATATACTTTCCAAAACAAATAGCTTTTAAGGGTAATGGTCTACTGTAAATGTTCACATCACAATTTCAAATCTTCTAAATCAGTAAATCATGCAACCAAGGCTCCATTTAAGCATGAAATTCGTAAATAAACAAGATCATTGCTTCCTACTTATTCTCAGTACTTGATATATTGTCAGTTTGCATATCCCCCAGAAAAAGAGAGACATAAGGTACAATGTCAACTTACAGTCTAGGTCATTCTGGGAATAACATATGGTTCAATTTTATTTTAATAAATTGCTTGATAACCCCAGTTGGAGGACCCAGAGAAAACCCACGAAGTTGGACATGCAACCCTACTCCCCATCACGTATATGTACATGCTGGACATCTACAAGTTATATTTATAGCACGGCTTTCATGAGTTAACTGGTTTAAATATCGAGCCCGTAGGTCGAGATGTTAAACCTATTAACGAATGAAGCATGCTATAAATGACTTGTGACAGTAACACCTGCTCAACATGCTTAGTGTTATTGCACAGAAAACCCACCCCACTTCTCTATATGATTTCTACTATAACTAGTTTAAACCAGCAAAAGAGTGCAATAACATTGAACAGGTCTAGTTATTGCACGGTTAAGCTCCACCCAATTAATCTACTAGAGGGAAAACAATCTGCTTATTCAATGAAAAGAAAAAAGGAAGATTTCCCATCCATGTTACAAATACATTTGTAAACCACAAAACTTGATGCAAAGACAGGCCTTTCCACCCCAATAAATAATATTTCCCTTGGAGAGTTTTAAACTAATACAGTATTCAATAATAAATGAGAAGTCTGACCTATCTAAGGTTTATTTTGTTGTACTTGTAAATACAATATATACACAGAGATGCACAGTTTATAGATAACAAACTTCGAATTTATTTTTATAAAAATATTTACAAAAGATCCTGGTAATACTGTTACCACTTGAATTTGATGAAAATGTGACGCGATACAGTGAAACAAATGATTCATGATCAACTTCAATGGACTTTTTAAAGATAATGTTTTATAAAACAATTGAACAGATGGCAGCCATCAAAAATAATAAACATGACAAACTTGGTGGTAAAAGTTACAGCAAAGACAGTAAATACACAAATTGTTTGACTTTTGGACATTTAATTCATACTTGCTGTTCACCTATACTATATTTTAAGCTTCTCATGAAAATTTAGAATAAATGGATAAGGGACATGTGGCTAAAATATTTGTTTAAATTTCATATTTTTTTTATTATCAGGGATTTTCTGGCAACAGAACCTAGGCTAACAACTACCTGTTCAAAATCAAACACACTTAATTTTTCTTTTTATCATTGAAATGTGGAATGTTCTCCAAGCCAAGACATAAAAACACTACCAATTATCTTAACTCTCTTCTTCGGGTTCTATTACTAATGAATTTCTCGTGCAAAAACACAAATATTTCAGCTGCACAATCTGTACTTCACATGATCTTGTCTTCAGAACGAAGAATTCTCCACTTCATCACAATGTTCACTTCGCTGTTGCTAAGGGATTACGTAAAACCAGAATAACTGAGTCACCTCGGAGAAACATTTTAGAAATATATCTGTCTTTGTTCACAGGTTTAGATTTTTTCTTGCCTTTTCCAGTTTTGGGAACTTCTGTCCACATTTCTTTCACATTTTCTAATACCATATTACAATGTCTGAAAATAAAACAATTACATGTACATATAGCCCTATGCATGGTTAATTTTAAGGGTTAACAAACATGTAGGAAGCATTTCAAGAAATCAAGGAAAGCTTGGTATTTTCTACACATAAAACCCTTTTTTTCTGGATTTTCAACTCTGGTTCCCACTGTCAGTTGTGCAGGATTGCAGATCTAGCACGAAAGGTGCTTTTGTGAAGAAAAATTAAGGTTGAGTAAATATCGCAATTATCAATCCCATGACAGTTGGAAAATGAAATACATGTTAGCGTAGCACCGCTGACCAGGGAACATTCCCCTCATAGCCCATGCATTCCTGTTGTGGTAGAACCACTGTCCGGGGAATATTTCCCTCATAGCCCACTGCATTCCTGTTGTAATTAACCCAGTTGTAGCACCACTGTCCGGGAAATATTTACCTCATGTAGCCCACTGCATTCCTGTTGTAATTAACCCATTTGTAACCCATTTCCCTCATAACCCACTGCGTTAATGTTGTAATTAACCCAGTGGTAGTACCACTATCCTGGGGATATTTTCCCTCATAACCCACTTAATTCCTGTCGTAATTAACCCAGTTGGTGTAGAAAAGTATCTTCTTACAAACTTATTTTAAACCCTGAGTATAGGAATATTATCCTATTAAGGCCAAAACTCGCAAATTGAAACCGACTTATGTCTAATCAACACAATGCATCATGTTTTATTATGGAGAACTTTGCCAGACAACAATGTTCTTATCTTCAATATTAAACTACCATTACCAAAAATAATGACTTTGGAATGTACTGAAAGGATGCCTTGGCAGTTAAAATTAGAAAAAGAGTAACATGATATAAATTACCTGTCAAAAGCTTTGACACGGCACAATAATTTCTTGTTATTTCGACAGTTGATAAGAACTTGTGTGTTGTTCTTCACAGATTGTGTTAATACTGATAAAGGACCAGTATTAAACTCTTCCTGCTCTCGCTGTGCCATATCTTCTGGAGACATCTCACTTTTAGGTTTCGGTGCCCTGAAAAAAAAATCATTACATTAGTAACAAAAGAAGTGGAAATACGAAGACTAAACGCATTTTTGACAGCCCATAAAATAATACTGGTCTTCAAAGCTCTTGCAAATTATTTGAAGTCAAACAGCCAATAAAAACGGGTAGAAAGGTGTCACACTTTGTCACATTTCTCGAGAACCGATGAATCTGATATATTTACATGTAACTATTGAGAATTATGGGCATCCAATAATAATATTTATGTCAATGGCGGTCCAAGTCCCGGTGTATATGTATGAAATATTAAATCACAAATATAATTTAATATATTATTTGATTGCCACAGAGATAACAAGAGTGCAAATTTCAAAGGCATACATAATTCTCAATACTTAAATAATTCAGATTCGCCGGTTCGCAAGAAACATGTCAGTCCATCCTTGGTTGTAGAACGTGATAATAATGCTAGATGTCAGATCTCTGGTTCAGAAGCTAAAATTGCCAGGGTGGGTAAATGAATAAGGGAGATCTAAGTCTCGAGGGCGAAATCAACTTTAAAAAATTACATGTAACATGTAGGCCTACTATCTACTACTAGGACCTCCGACTGGCAGCCAGTGGCAGTATCCTGCTTTCAACGGCTCGTCTACGTTACAACTACCAGTAATTTCAATTCAAATTGAAACAGAAATGTCAACCAGAGATGTATGTAGATATGGAGGTATCATCTATGCAATATTATTCTAACAATACACACAAACAATTATCTTTCATTTTAGTCTTTTCCCTGTCATACCCATTGTTCCATTAGCTTTGTTTACATTCGAACCGACCTAGTTCTGATATAATTTGTAGCATTACAAAGTGTGCAATATTCAAAATAAATACATTTCTACACAAATTAAATGTCGTTTTATAACGTTGTAAAAAAAATTTTACTTACGCCATTGTGAAATATACAGATGATTTCGATTAAAATCTGTTTCTATAACAATTCGTTTCTTTGCGCCAGACAATCGTAAAAAGCCGGCGGAAATGAAATTTGCGCAGGTGCTTGGTGTACACAAATTGGGGATATGAATATTGAAATACAATTTTTATTGGGGTTTTTTCATATAATTTCTGAAATTATAATTAAATGATGTGTATTTTGTAAAATAGAACAAAATAACATCAAGATATATTGCAATTACACATTATCATATCACAGTAAATATAAGATTTCTTTTTTCTTTTCGTAAAATAACCAAAATAGTTATTTTGAACGAAGCCATACTAAATTGGCTTCCCGCAGAGGAGTTCATAAAGGGGGATAATTCTCATTTACTTTTTTCT